CATACTTTTAGCCAGAGAGCATCTCTTCGCTGTGTGAGAGATGAGTGACAGCACACTCAGAGTGCTTTCAGTAGCATTTGCAAGTCAATGCTCAGATTTAACCTCTTCACTCTCCCTTCAGTGTGGATCAGCTGCCTGAATTCAAAATCAACCTCTGAGAAGATGCTCTTATCTCACTCCGCCCTAAAAAGCAGCAGAATGTGAGTGTATGAACCATTGCATTGACCTCGTCTCTGAATTCCACTCGCACATATAAAGTTATCCTTTGACAACAAGACACCATGAGGAAACTCTGTTTTCTAAAAGTCCTCTTGCTTCATCATTACATCTGTGAGTGTGCAGTTCAATTTAGGATTTCATGGCCACATTGTGCAAGCTGGTGCATTTGCAGATTTTTGGATAGTCAAACAGAGATCTTATTCCACTTCACTGCAGAGAGACATAAATCATCCCATTGTTCTGATTTTGAAAAAGAATGCCAGTGAAAAGGAGAGGTGTACATTCCCTCTTCCCGAGGTTATAACATGTCCTATTTACTAAAAGAAAGAACTTTTTAGCAAATACCATGGAAGTGGTAGTAATGGTTTAGTATTGATCTCTTCAGTGTTGTCTTATGTGGTCCAAAGACTGGGGGAGACTTTACGTTAGAGCACAGCCCTGGAATTCCCAGATACACATGCCTGTGGGCGTAAATGTGTCAGCGTCTGTTTTATGTGTGCGAACGTGTGTGTATGTGTGTCACAGAGGGTATTTATTTGTATCTGCCTGCAAGGAGCAGAGGAGGCGTGTGTGTGTGTGTGTGTGTGTGTGTGTGTGTGTGGTGTGTGTCCTGTGTGTCTGTGTGTGGCATGTGAAAGCATAGCTGGCTGCTCGATGTGGGTCATTTACCCCGTTCTTTCCACGCCAGGGGCGCATGCAGCAGGAGAGGTACGAAGGGAGGGGATGGATGGAGGGGTGTGGGGTATTGAGGGGCAGAGGGGGGATGGGAAAAATAAAGGAGAGGGTGGTGGGAGTGTTGAAGGAAAAGGGACGGGGGACGCGTTGAAGGGGTGGCCCCAGAGGAGTAGAGAGCCAATACAATCACCATGCCGCGTCCCTCTTGGCGGCTGACCAACCCTCAGCTTTGTCTGATGAGGGACAGGGAAGGGGTGGGGGCAACGTGAGGTGGGGGTGGGGGCTACACGACAACACTGTGGCCTTGTCTTACTGTCACTCAAGCTCATGCTGGGCAGGAGCCATTCTTAACCCCATCCCAAAGGCACTGGGGAAAAAGGGGAGAGTAGGTGGGGCTGGGAAGGGTGGGGAGCAAATAGGGACACCACAAAACCAAAACTTTATGAGCTGAATTAAAGCACCTTCCTCCAGTATCATCCCTTTTCCCACGGGGTGCCATTTTTTTATAGAGGAGCTCTGTCTGCTGTTGAGTTTAAGTCAAGGAAAAATCCTCTCTTTAACTTGCCTCCATGGTCAGAGGTCATATTCTGGGGCTTAGATTTAAATTAAATGTTCATTTTAAAAAATAGGGAATGTTAGAGGCATCCATCGTAACCTCCTAATAATTTTCACTTTCCGTTCTACCTTTCCTTTTCCAAGCGTGAGGGAGAAACTATGTACGGTGGCCACAAAAGACACAACAGCCATATGTACAACCAGTTTTCAACCACAGAAGGCGATCCACGGCCTCTGTTGTTTGAAAACGGCTAATTTTAAGGTAACAAAACACCAACGATTCTTATTTTCATGTGATTATACGCTAATGAAAACATACCTGTGAATATTATATTCCATTTCTGCCAATAGATTCTCTTAAATGTCACACACTGGACCTTCAAGTAACAATTTGACTGATTGGAGATCATTATTTTCAGGAAAGGGGAATGAATTAGTTGCATTCACATACACGTACGACCCACTGTGCACGGTGAGAATACTGGAGAATGAAATGAAAATAATGGAACAGGGGCTTTTCCATGTCAAGAAAAAAAAATGTGTTCACAGCCCTCAAAATACAGCTTGTCTTGTGACTCCAGTGCATTCTGGTCTGCAGAGGCTTTACTGCTATTGGAGGAAATGGTGTCCCTGCTGTGTCCATGATGGTATCCCACCAGTATGATTGTTGTTAAATTGTAGGTCTGGAAACAAGGCCTCGCTCTTTGATTCTGAAGGACTATGTCAAGTCCTGATGTTTACCGTTGATGTTTTACATAGCTGAACATTTTTCAGAAATCAATTGTACAAGTAGCTCTAGTGGAAATATACTTAAGTGATTTGAGAATAAATAAAAAAACACCAAGACACCAAACAACAAGAAGGTGCAAATAAATGCACGGTACACCAGCCATACTGCCCATTCTGCTGCTGTTTGAGTGGGTTTTCCTTTCTGAGCTTGATTTTTGGAGAGTTCCTGCACCTCATAGTTTTGTTTTTGAAGGATTTTTGTATAAAATCCAGCAAGCACCTGACAAGTGAAGCTTATTGATCCAAACTCATCCTGCTGACTTCCAATGAACAAAAGAAAAGACACAATAGTTCATCTTTCTGACCAGATGTCTGTCGGGTAGGCCTTGCCTAGCGTTATTGGGCCATATCATATAGTGCTAATATCATAGTCACAGTTTGACACGGATATTGCTGTTGGCAACCACAAAGGAATGAAATTGTCTCTGAAGTTTCATGGGAAACAAACTTGTTTTCATCACCTTGTTCAAAAACCACTCCCTCCTGATGTTTTGCTGCTTGGTGATAATTTGCCCACTGAATAGATAACTGTTAGTTTGGCACTGCTGTTCCTTCCTTGGCGTAAGTTGTGGTTATAAAGAAATGCAGCCGATCCCTTAGGCACTTTCCACTGTTTTTCCCTCAGAGACAGGTGTGTGTGTAGGTGTTTAGTTGCACTCAGCATACATACGTTTGACAGAATTGTCTCTTTACAACCTCACACGACTGAGCTAAAACCAAAAGCTCCTGTAGCGTTACGACCATTGTATCCCGTCCCATTGTGGGGCCACTTTGATGTCCCGTTGCTCTGAGCCTCTGTGGAGGAGAGAAGGGCACTGTAGGGTATTTAATCACTGGAGCTCAGCCAACACACACACGCAAACACGCACACACACCTAGCACACTCCTTCATCTGACCTGCCAATAGCAATAATATGTGTCCTTCACTTATCATTTTCTATCATCTATATTATTATGCCTCCCCCCCAGCACAACGTAACGCAGCCTCATACATCCTGTGCAACCCCCCCTACCTCCACCTCCACCTCCACCCCACCGCCCAGCCCAGCAAGCACCCCCCCCCATCCCAAAAAAAAAACACTCACACACACAAACATGAAACATCTCCCTGTGCAGCAGCAGTCTGCAAAGCACTGCATTCCTCATGATTTTTTTTTTTCTAATAAATGTGATCCCAGAATCCGGGAGAGAGACCAGTGCTGTGCATTAAAATTCATGGGAAAAAATGGCAATAAAATCTTTCTTTCTCCCTCTCTCTTCCTCTCTTTCTCTCCTTCCCTCTCCACTCTCCCCACTTACTCCCCTCGCCCTTCTCTCTTTCTCATTCCCTCACTTGTCTGCTCAACACACTCACACTTACACACACACACACACACACACACACACACGTGCACAAGGCGGGCACACACATACACACTTTTTTTTTTTTTTCATCACCCGTGTGCACTCTCCCTCTCGTTCAATCTCTAACCCTCCTACTGGCCCGTCTTTCTCAGCATCCCCCCTGCTGTCCTTCATCCTTTATTCTCTTCCTCCTCCTTCCCTCCCTCCCTCTCCCTTCCCCTCTGCCTTTCCTCTCTCTGTCTCTTTCTCACACACACACATATATATACTCTCACACAAACACACACACCCATCTATATTTTCCAACTCCACCTCTGGCAGGTTGTGATTTCCACTGTCAGAAATTGCTTTTTCAATATCTCTCTCTCTAATTATGAGCCCCGCCAAAGGGGTCGTGCCACCAGAATACCAATTTTTCCACCATTTCTCTCTTCGTCTCCAGAATAATTCCCTTTTTTTCCCAGGTAACAACAAAGCACACATTCAATATATAGCCATGCAAGCGTTGCAGCATTATCACTATTGTATTTCTGTGGGTTCTGGAGCCTTCTTTGGCTCTGATTTAGATCTATTCAGTTTTTTCATGTTTGGTCAGTTCCCTGTGGTCATGATTAATTTTTTGACATCTTGAAATGAGCAGGATGGTGCAAAAGTTAGAACAGAGTCTATTTATTTCCACATCAACAAGGACGAAATGGGGGACAATGTAAGATTTTTCAATGCACTGACGGTTTTGTGGGGAGCAAAAGGAAAACCACTGAATCTTGATACAGCCACCACACAACTCCTCGCATTCTCAATCACTCCCTGTGCCCAGGAAGGGGTTAACCTCACCAAGCAGTTGTAGCCTGCTTGATTGACGTGCGGAGCATTGTGCTACCTGGACCCTCCAATCAGCGAACGGTCAGCACGCCCCACGTGGGTGTTCTCGATAGTGATTGGCTCATTTCACCAGTGTTTACTGTGCCGAGGCCGAGCCCCACGTGGAGATTTCATTCAATCACTGAACACTTCCTCTGAACCCCCTTTTTCTTTATAAAGAATATGTTGCACTTTTTGAATAAAATTTAAATGTCCTAATTGTGTGGATAGATTTTCACTTACATGCCAATATGAGGATGAGGCTAATGACAGTGCAACAATAACAAGAGGAAACAAACTCAGCAAAGGTTTATTTGCAAATATCATCAGGCTATTTGAAGAGCAGCATTGTGTGATATGCTCGATGCTCAGATTTGCCCAGTGTCCATAACTGAGAAGGGTTGGTTGGATTAAATGTTTCTTTAGGTTATTCATTCTGATAAAACAAAAACTGTGGAGGGTAGAAGGAGCAGTAAACCGTGTCTTTAGGTCGCCCCCCTCCTCCTTAAAGAAAGCTACTCATATGTTATGTCCCATTGAGGATCAGAGAAGGGGGGAGTGAGAGAAGTGAGGGACTGGGAGTGTTGTGTGAAAAGAGTGCAGGCCAACGAGCGAGACAAAAGAGGCTGCGGCTGCATTGAATGTGCCGGTGGTGTGTCCGTCTCCGAAGCCACAAGCAAAACCACATTCTCCCCCCCCTTCTCTCCTCTCTGGCCTTTATGCTACAGACGGCGAAGAGATATCGGAGAGGGAAACCAATTGCGATATTGTAATTTTGCTGGAAGCGCGAAGTTGGAGGACTTGGAAGGAAAAGCTTGGACCCGGGTGTTTCTCCTCTCCTCTCCCCCGTCCTTACTACACGACGAGTGCGGTGCGGTTTCAGGGTTGGAGATATAACCCAGAACAAAGGAGTCTTGAAGCGAGGAATGAGCGAGCCGAGACTAGCTCTGCCTTTACCTTTGAAACCGGGCCAAATGCCTCTCTGAGACCAACAATAGTACATCGGCTGCTCGCATTTCTCGACGAAGCTTTCCGCCCCAAAAGGTAGAAAGAAGAAGGACAAAAAACCAACGCACACGGAGACACACACACACACACAAGTCGGCGGCTACAATGTTTCCTCAAAACCGACCACCGGTAAGTAGGCTACGCTACTATGTAACCGTCTTCAGCGGCTTTAGGGAGGTTATTGTCTTATATCCGGAACCTCCATCAAATGCAACGTGTGTGTGATACACGGCAGGTTGATTTTTAAACCTTATTGAGCCTCAATAAGAAAGTGCAAGCCGAAATTGTTTGTCTTTGTCATCCTTAATGTGTATTTCCGGGGACTCCTTTGTGGGGGAAATATGATCCTATATGTGCTGTTACATATAACATAACATCTTGTTTGTCTTTGTATTAACGCCCTGTGTAATCTTTGTCTCATGAAGGTCAGGCAGATTGCTGTCAGTAGGGGTTTAGTGAGGCAAAGCCCACCTTAAACAGTGTCCAACTTTGCCGAGTGTCTTTGTTTGTGAATCTCATGTCCTTGGTGGCTACCACCACCACCAGTTTAGAAACATGGAGCCTCCTTCTATTTCCACACTATTGTGGAGTTGACCCAGATGATGAAGTGCGTGTTTGTTTGTCCCTTTCCTCATGGGCTGTGAGAGGGGGGCAGGGGGTGAGTCAGCTTTGGCTTGTTGACACCTTCACTCAGTGGTCTGCCCTTCTCAAGTGCCACTCATCAAAAAAGAAATCATCAGCTTTTTTTTTTTTTTTGCTTTATGTCTCGTTTTAATCATATCAGGGGTGGTTCATGTCCCTGGTTTACAGATTTTATAGATTGAAAACTAGAAGCTGTCCCTTTGCAAAAGTCCTCTATAATTGTAATGTGGCTGTAAAAATGAAACAGAAATTGGAATGCTGTCTGTGTTCGAGACAGATCCGTGCGAGGTTAGGAGCGATATTCATGCTGCATGGCTTTAATTTGTTTTAGTCGAGTTAGGTGGAGAGCTTTTGAGCAGACTGAAATACATAAACACTGGTCCTCCAGCTGTGTGAAGTATCAATTAGAACCTGCTCATTTGCCTAACCCTCATCTGCATCCCTCAGCCATGCCACCCTGCACCCCACCCCTGACAGTGTTTTGACATTCATGTCCCATACATTGAAACCAGATTAAGCACACTGTGAAGTATAACTTCATGTGAATGTGTGTGTGTGTGTGTGTGCCACTTTAATCAATTCTTCTCACTAATTCATTTATGCAGAGTTGCGTGTTTGCATAATGCTTAAATTGCACTACCGTCATGCATTGTAACTTTTATTTCAGCCCGTTCTTCCTTTTAGTGAAACAGGGATCTTGTGAGTTCCCACTTACATACAGCACATACACAAACATCACACACCAGCAGCTGTGTATGTAGTATAGCTGACTGCAGGAAGGCAGGGCAAGAGGCAGACTGTGGGTCTGTGGTTTGCACTGTAAACCCAATCCCTCTCATCCAGCCTCTCCTCGCTGTGTTCCTGTGAGAGCTCCAAACCACATCTTAATGTATGGGCAGGCGTCCCAGGGTGAGAGGAGCAGACTGCGGCAGGTCGGAGTGGAATGTTTAGGCCAGCAGCCCCCGTTTCATTTCAATCCTCCGCAGAGCTCAACAGCTCCATGTGAGACACCCGTCCTCAGAAAGTCTCGAGCCATCGGTAGCTGTTGTTTGCACCTCGGAGTGAAGGGCCACTCAACCCGGCAAACTGTTTAATCTCTGAAATGCTAGGCTGGCAGTAACCTGTCATCACTGGCTACTGGTCTGCTGTGAAGGATGTGACCCATATATTACATAAACATGTTACCCATATTAACAGAGATATAGTTATGTTTTTATCAAGCAATAATTAAGAATTGGGTGCATTTTCATATCCTGGACAAGAGAGTTTGTGGCTTCTAGCATGTAATATAACCTGCATGTTTATAGCGTCTTACAACAGATCTTCTTTCAGCATTGTTCATATGAACTTGGTCATTTTTTTTTTTTTTCTGGGCTAAACTGTTTCAACCTTTTAAAGAGCACACCCAGACTCATAAGGCACACTGTCTATGGTGTAAAGTGCAACAGGCCAACATTAAAATGGAATTCAGTGTTTTTAATTACACATCTTGTACATTTAGTAAGTCCTGACTAAATACAGTGCATACCTAAACTGAACTTCTCCTCACCTGAGATAAAAACGATGTGTCTACAGATGTAATGACGCTGTGGTGTCCACATGACATAAACGCGACATAGAAACGTTCTTGAAAATGCTTCTGGCCCTCAATGTGCTCAGATCATTTTGGTATTTTGCCAAATACAGTAGACTAGCTGAGAAGTGAATGGGACGTGGCAGGCATGGCTGGCTGTCTTAAATCCTTAATGTTCTTCAAAATCTGCCACAGTGAGAGAAACCTACACGGCTGCACTGTAGACACAGACAGAAACGGATCAAGAAGAAGAAAGCAAAACATCAAAGCACAATGTAAAATTGTATTCAAACCAGAACTAACAATTTGTTCTGTTGGCCTGTAATGATACTAACCATGTTAACATATACATGTATGACCCACTTGAAATAACACACAACCAAGACATAAACTGAATACATTTAGAAGACAAAATGGTGGCATTAGCAGGTTTGCTGCTCCTCACTAGTATCTAAAAATCTTCTGTTGGGGGGAAAGAAGTATTAAAAATCTTTCTGTTGCCAAAGTAGACCTGATCTGTGGGAGATTGGTCTTAATATCACCAACAGTCCTCAACCAACCATTTTATCCTAAACAATAACCCAGGCTGGGGGAAGGGTTTTTTAAGAGATTAATATTGTGGGTGAACTTAGGTTAAATATTTGTAGTTTAGGCCATTGTTCATACCCATCTTGATAACGTTTCATAATCCATTAGCAAACAGCGATCACACAAGTTTCTAACACGTCATCATGTTTGTCGTATCTGTACTCGAAACCTAAAATTGGTTGCTACCCAGACTGTCCATTCAGTATTTCAGAGCTATTTCCTGGTTCAACATTTTAGCTACTATATGTACGTACTATAGTTGTTGTCACACACTGAAGCCAGTTTGGATGTGTTTGCCTCAATCTTTCCTTCCAAATATGTTGGATTAAAAAACAGTTAATCTGGATTTGTGTATGACCAACTGTTGCTCTTGCATGTCCCAATGGACCATATTGAAAACTTCGTTTCATCTAGCTCGGTCCCCGTGGATTTAAACTGTACAAATTTAGTTGAGTTAATTCCAAAGTCGGAATTTCTTTCTTGTGAACGTCTTTATAAAATGAACCTGTTGGCACACTACAACACTTTACACCCTTTATTTGCTATATAATGATTAAGTGTCAATGGTATATTGCAAACTGAATGTTATGTGTGCTGTTATGATGCTGTTGTTCATGTTTTTAAATGATTTTCAAGTGCAAATAATACTTGGTGGCTTTATGTCAGACCATGTAGCCATCACTGTACTCATCAATGCAATGCCACAACAACTTCTATTGGCCAATGCTAAATAATGGATTTGTTTTCTTCTTAAAGATCAGTATTTGGGTGACAACGATCTTAAAAGACCAGTATGTAACATTTAGGAGGATCTATTGGCAGAAATTGAATATAATATTCATAGGTACCTTTTGATTAGTGTATAATCACCTGAAAATAAGACTCTGTATATTTTTGTTACCTTAGAATCAGACATTTTTATCTACAGAGGGAGCGGGTCTTCTTCCACAGAGACCACCATGTTTCTAAAGTAGCCTAGAACGGACATACCAAACACTGGCTCAGATAGGGCCGCAATGTTAATGTAAAGAGTCGCTCACTGATCTGAATGCCTACAGTGAAGCTAGACCTTTGGGGAATTTGGGCTCCATTTAATAAAATAAAAAAAATTAAATTCATTGTGGAAGTGAGGAAAAATGTGAGCATGGCCTAAATCATCATCTGCGTATCTCCTCTTATCATTTCAAGGAGGTGGTCTTTCTAAAGAATATCTAGTCAGTGATGATATATAGGGTCAGATATGAGACAGGGACTGTCATAGGAAGAGTACTTTGGGAAGAGTGACGAAGATGAAGCCTTCTCCTCTCTGTCCTCAGAGCTAGCATAAAGCAACCCTCCACTTCCACAGTCCTAGCAAGCTTTTAGCTCTTTATCACCACTGTTGTCCAGCGGTGAGTGTGTGGCTATCGATCAGGAGCTCGGCTGCTTTGCTCAGCCACCGATTAGATGGGTGGGAGAGAGAGGGAGGGAAAAAAGAAAAGAAGCAGAAGAAAATGAAGGCAAAGAGGCTGAAGGGATCTCAGGTTTACACAAGCTGTTGTGGAGGTGCGTCTCGGTGGAAGGAACAAACGAGCGGAGGGGGTTACCTAATAAAAGAAGGCACCTCCAGCAATTAAGCCAGCTGACAGGCAAACTGTGGCGCTTCGCTAATGTGGGCTGACAGCAGGGAAATTTGAATAACGAGGCTTGCGGGAGGAAGGAGAGAGGAATGAGGAGGTGGAGGGGGTCGGGGGGGAGAAAACTGAGAAAGAAAGATGTGTGGTGCTAATGAAACAGGTGCCTGGCAGCCCCTCCCCTCTAAGTGCAGGAATCATTGAGAGATTACCAGCACGTTTCTGCAGCGCAGAGCCAAGCAGATAGCCACTTGGGGGGGGCGGCAACGAACCTGTGTCTTTTCTGTCTCCCTGCGAGCCGTTTTAACAATGCAAATCACCGCTGAATGTTGACAGCCGAGTTTGAATTAAGAAGCTTTGACTTCAAACGCTTCAGAGAGAGGACAGTGTATTGACATGTTTCATGGCCGTCAGAGATGGGGAGGTGTGTTCTCAGGCATGTGTGGGTGGATACATGGATACACATTCAGGAATGCTATTCTGGGTTAGACCTACTGTCACTGCGTCCTTGGTGGTAGTTAGATGAGAGAGGGAAAAAGAGAGAGAGAGAGAGGGGGAGAGAGAGCGCTTGGTGGGTGTTTACTCTGATGATTGACTTTGTGGGTAAGCAGTGTAATTAGTGGCCTGACTAATGGGCCGAGCTGTATGAAGGGAGGCAGCAGCACAGCATCTTCCCAGCTAAAGTAGACAGTAGAGAGATCCAGCTCCGATTA